CTTTAAATGCTTATATTTCAGGACCAAGCAGTTCGATTGATTTCATTTTTCGGTTAAATATAGAGCTAATTATGTGCTATACAATGGCCCAAAAAAGTTAAAGAAAACAACTGGTATTCCTTTTTTGTATCACATTGAAATCGTACGACTGTCACGTGCGCCACCATGGGAATGCCTATATCGAGTACTTTTGCATGCTTAGCTCAAAATTTTAGTTTTTCGATTTGTGGCAGTCTTTTAGTAAATGAGGTATATTTCTCTTATGTTATTTTATAAAAGTTGTGCAACTAGATAAAATTAGTAAATTAGGTGTTCGACTTACCTTTTGGTTGTTATATCACAGAATCGTTGTATGAATGAAGTTAAAACGATTTTTTTTTTGCTTTTGTTAAGTTGTAATTAGTTGTGTGTAATGCGATGCCACTTCAAAGTGATTCATGTGTTGTAGATATGTATTTAGTTTTATTATTTAATTTCTGCTAACACCTCTTTTCACCTTCTAAAATAAGCCGTTTTTTTAAAAAAAAAACGATTGAATTGCGTTGAAATACCGCAATATTTCTTCAATACTAAATTGTTATATTACACAATTGAAGGTGATTTACTATTTTTTTTGAAAAACTATTAGAAATTATATAAGTAGATACTCTTTGTTATTTATGATTGAAAAATAAACTTTCGATTATTTGATTTAAATTTCGATAGTAAGAAATAAACGTAATGATGTTAATTGGCAAGCAACTACTTTTTATGGCTTGTCTATTTATGCTCATTTATGAATGAAGCGTTGAAAACTTGAATGAAAAAGGGGGCTCTTGGGCCACTAGTGTTTACATGATGAACGGCAGAGTGGCAAAGAGTGGCAACAGCGTTTTTTGTTGAAGTTGTGTGGTTTGTGTTTGCGTTCGTTTTTTCGTAGTTTTTTGTTTTGTTTTTTTTTTTCAAAAAATAAAGACGAAGACGTTGTTAAAAGTTGCTGTATTTGTAGTTCAGTTGCCGTTGTTTTTTATGATGCTCGGTTAGGCTGAAAATAGAAACAAGAAGTGTAAAAAAATTTACATAAGAATGTCAGTTGAATAAAAGAATTTAAAATTAGCAAATATATGAACTATTGAATAAATAATTTAAATACATACATATATACCATACGTATCTATAGTATGAATATGTATTTTACATAAGCTGTTAACAAATAAAATTGGTGACGAAAGCTATAGTGCTTGTTATAACTATACGGCACCCACATATTTATTGAAAAGTTTTGACCATTTTTTTATTAAATTTTTTTTTTTGTAAAAGTGCAATTCATTGTATTCCAAAAACCATATAAATCCACGTTTCAAACTTAGTACAAACAAAATCAACAAATTTTTTTTTTAAATTTCACGAATTTTTTCAGAGTTTTTAGAAAATGCAGTAAATGCCACTGACTTTTGGATTTTTAATTTTTTTGCTAAAAATTCCACTCATTTTTTCCATACGAAGTTTTTAAAATGTTCGACTTAATTTATATATAGGTATAGGAAAGTGCACAACACCATCAGCAAAAAAAAAGAGAAAAATAAATAGTATTTTGTACCGACTTTAAACTTGCACTTGTAGAATAACAATTGAATGGGCTATAAAATAGTCGAAAACTTTAACACATTGTTGTTTTTGTACGCAGATTGCTGCTTAGATTTATATGGTTTTTGTTATACAATGAACTTTATTTTTATAAAAATAAAATAATTAAAATTGAATAATAAAAAAATCAATAGTCAAACAATATTTGGTTGTCGTATAGTTATGATACGCACTATATTATAGTACAAAATATTTGAATTTCATTACATATAGAAATATTGTAGCTATAGATTCGAAATGCACGCAACAATCAGTTAGCACAATAACCGCAAAAGTGATCAACAGAAAGCAAAAATTCAAACCTTTGGTGAATGGTTGTCTGCCAGTTACTCGATTGACAGACAGTTCTGGGTGTAGCTGGACACTCTCTTTTTTTTACACACTAAATGCCCGCATACCAGTAATGTTGTTGGCCTTTTATTTAGAACAATTGTATGAGAATTACTTAACTTTCAAACTATTATTCAATAATGTAGTTAGTACATACAAATGGCAAATATGGAAAATCTAATTAAATTAATGTGTAGCACACGTAATATGTATCAGTCGGAGTCAAGTTATTTAATATTTCAGAACTAGTTTTATCATTGTTCTAATTCTTTTTGTTTCATTTCGTTTCCCAGTTCATAACACACCTATTTGTTGAACTACAATTCATACACATGCCCAATTATATTACATATGTACATATTTTTTTTTATGTATATGTATGTAGGTGTGTATTTGAGTGACCCATGCTTTATATTAACAGGAAATAAAATATAAAAGTAACTGTTAATCACACCCGGTGTTTGCTGCACAACAACTTTAAAATAACTAATAGTAATAATGGGCTTAAAGGAATCTGAGACATTATGCGGGTACACGCTTTGTGGTTATGTTTGTATGAAATTACAGCCGTCTGTCTATGCCTGCGGGGCAGCAACAAATTAACTCATATTTTGTTATTAAAGTAAATTAGTTGAAAATGTGTGCAATAATAAAACTTACATACAGCTATGCATTTATACACACTTGCTGTGTTTCATATATACCGTTTAATTGTCAGCAGTTATAGCCTAGCTGCACATGCGCAACAGAAAAAGCATACGTCAATAGAGTATAAGTAGCTGCATCCGGTTATTTAGAAGCCGAAGGCTGAAGTGTTCTGAATGTACGAATATATGGTTAGGTTAGGTTATTCTGGCTGGCTGACCGCCCCACATAGACCAATAGGTCCCTAGTGATGCCAGATGTAGATAGAGGTTTAGTTAAATACGTTCAAAGTAGATATACATCATTTTTGAGAATTTCAGCAGTGCTTGAAGCCCAAGTTTTGTCACGTCTTCAAGCTTATTAAACTCAGCAGGACAATGGCAAAGGATTTGTTTTAGGGTCTCCCTTCACTAACAGCAATCCCCATTTTTCATGCGTGCGCTACCAACATTTTATGTCCTGTTAGGACATCTATCATGGTTCTGCAGTTAGCCCAAAATTGGGAGATTTTCATTACAAATTTTCAATCAGTTAATATGTGAACTTTAGTTGAAAACCTATTCGAAAGAATGTATTTAGATAAAATTGAAAATTAATATTGTGGAGACTTATGAATCATCAACAAAGGAACTTCAATTTCTTAAAAGTTTTCATATGTAATTAAGAAAGAAGCTGTAATGATCTGATTGTTTGTGAAGTACTCTTCTGCTGTATCATCATCATCTTTTAAATCATTAAGACCTCTTCAGCATCAGAACCGCACAATCGCCAAAAGTCATCAACATCAACTGAAACTCGTGTTTGTTTTCACTTGTTCAACAATTGCGAAATTTCACACGCACACACACCAACAACAACAGCAATCAATGTAGCAGAGCAACCATTGTGTTAAATATTTAGCTGGGAATCAGTTCAAGTCAAGTCGAGATTATCAAAAGGTGTAATTTCTTCTTTACCGACAACCAAGTAAAGAGTCGTCATAGATGTATGTACATTAGGGTGGTAAAAAAATAGTAAATTCGGAATTTTAATTTTAACCGCCTAGGATTGTTCTGTACCGAAAAACAATACCCCTTTTATATTTTGAAATCAAAAAAGCGCTGAAATCTATCCATGTACTTTATATGGGAAAAACAAGTTTTCGTAGAAATGGCTTAGAATATTTGAAAATCATTATTTTTCGATCGGAAAACCTTTCTTCTCTTCAGAAGACTTCCAATAATGATACCCAATTTTTTATTATACCATATATATTTTTTTAATACTAGCGATTTTTTATGGGTCCCCAATAGCATTTTGAGGTTTTTAGGGGCCCTATAAAAATAGTTAGTACCAGTTAGTAATAGAAAATGGTTAAATAAAAAATTGGGTTTAGTTACAGGAAGTCTCCTGAAGAGAAGAAAAGTTTTCCGAACGAAAAATAATGATTTTCAAGAGTTCTATACCATTTCTATGAAAATTTGTTTTTCCCCATGTAAAATACATACACAACTTTGGGCGCTTTGAGCGACCTCTAAATATTTTTTGATTTCAAAATAAAAAACAGGGGAATAAGTAGTTGTTTTCGCTATAGAACAATCCTAGAGCAATGAGAGCATTAAAATTCTGACTTGACTTTTCGACATGTATTTTTCGCTCACCCTAAGTTTAAGTAAGTTTAGTTACAACTTCAAACAGAATCCGTTCGCTGCAATCAACGCACCTCAAAACAAAGGAGCGAAAATAATAAAACTAACGCTGCTGTCTCAGCCGCCGCGGCAGTAAAAGTAGCAAATAAGTAATAAAAGAATACAATTGTTTGGCTGACACTTGAGCCTTTGTTGTTGCACCGATGCCGCCACTTGCTGCCATTGCCGTAATGACTGTTGCTATTGCAAATATCTTTTTGTGAGGTTGATGTTGATGCTGCTGCAAGCAACATGAAATTTTTTGAATGTCATAAATTGCTGCAAGTACAGAAAAAAAGACACATGCAACAATTCTACAAGTACTTACTAAGTATATTAAGCTATGTGTCACTGACTGCGACGACTTAAGTGCGCGTTGTTTTTATTTGTACAAGTTTTTGTGTTTATACTCATATATGTGTATGTGTTTACATGAAAACTGACAAAGAACAATCAGTGCCGCTGCTCAGTGCATACAAGAAAGGTATGTATGTATGTATGTATATATGAGCATGTAATGCATTTGTAAATACTATACATGCACCTTAGACCGGGTCGATTGCATTACGATAGAAAAAAGTCATACGCAGTTTGTAAGCCCACCAACCCTGAAAGGTCCCGAAAAAACCTGTGGAAATCCCGAGAGTTCCCGAAAAATACATATCTGAAAAATCAGTAGTTGTAAACTATATGTTGTGGTGATCCGATTCCGACAGATGATTAGTTTAGGTTAGGTCGATTGTGACAGACCTGAGGGGGTACGTTGTGCTACCATATTCCGCAATTTAGTTAGAACGGTAAATACAGGTTATCTGTGTTAAGTCAAGAGATGCGCTGGGTGCCCAAAACAAAGTTACGCAGGCAGCTGACGTCTACTCCGGAGAGCTCCCCGGGAGTGTTGATGAAACGCGCACCAAGGAAGTATGGAGATAGTTCCACCTCGTCTTTAAAACTGCTGCGGTAGTGGGAATCCGTGATAATATTAAGTCGTACCGCATGGGTTCCTAAAGGACAATGACCGGTAGGTAGACTTGTAAGAATCGAGATCTGCCGCTTAGTCAGCTGCAGAAGCTTCCTTGACCGCCTGCGGCCAAAAACCGGCCAGAAAGACCCTGCAAACGTGCATGTCGGGGTTTTTTGCCCAGCGATCGCTGAGCAGACTATGAGCTCATTTGTTCAGGAGCAGGCCGCGCGTTGCCAACGGAACTCCTATGCCTTCGCTGTCCGAGTTGATGGCCTGGAGGGTGCCCTGCCTAGCCAATTCATCAGCTTGACTTGGAAGTATTCCGAGACGGTTGAGAGAGAGGTCAGGCATTCCACGACCATTTTCGATTGTTCCATCAGCGACCCCAGCGCCCTGTTGTCGCTTGGCTATCAGAGTAGATATTTACCTTCCTAGTCGGCAAAACATTGGTGCATAGCCAATCGGCTGCCTCTTTTGGAGCGGCCACTTCAGCTGAAAGACGCTTGAAAGATCCGGCAGTCTGAACATAAGATCTAATGAAAGTTCCTGACAGTGGACACCTCCTCCAACTCTTTCGTCCAGCTTCTATCCTTCCGTGAATATGTTTATTGGTCCTCTGCTTCAGAGACTACCATTCTCCCATTCACCTCCATTTTTGGAGGTATTTTGAAATCGGTCCAGCCTCACGAAAATCTTAATATTTTTCCGAAATATTTTGGTGGACATCTTAAAATATAATCAATTTTGCAACCCCGGCGGAAAAACCGCAACTTTTTTTGGTGATGCAGTCTA